TCTCTCTCTCTCTCTCTCTCTCTCTCTCTCTCTCTCTCTCTCGGAGCAGCAGCAGCGCGTACGACGACGACGAATGGCAAGACGACGATTTCGGTTCCCGCTGGAGCATGGGCCTCCTCCAACCCCTTTGCTGCCCTTCCCGGCTCGGGCGCCGGCAGTGGCAGCTCTACTTCCTCCGTGCTGCGCATTCCTGCCGCCTCGAGTTCGAGCAGTGGCGCCTCTACTGCGCCGAAGAAGCCCGCCGCCTCCGCCGCGGCAGCGCCTTCGGAGCCGACGAAGAAGCAGCGGCAAAACGCGGCGAAGGCAGCAGCTGCCAAGGCGGCAAAGGAGTCGGAGGAGAAGGAGAGATTGGCGAGATTGGCCAGACATAAGCGCGAGGTGGAGCAGGAGCGCATCAAGGCGCAGATGAAGAAGGCAGCGCCAGCGGCGGCAGCGGGGGCAAAGGCAGCGGCGACGGGCTTGACGGCGGCTAAGGCGAGCGTCAATGAGAGGGGCATGCTGGTTTGGGATTGAGGGCGACGAGGGGGGGGGGGGGAAAGGGGGCTTAAAGGGGGGGGCAGGGGGGGGGGGGGGGGAAGAAGGAAGGGGAGGGGGGACAAAACGGCAAGTAGTACGGCGTTTGACTTTGAGGGGCCGGCAGAGCTGGCTGGCGGGCAGGCCGTTGAGGATGGCCGCGCAATGACAAGGAATGAAACAAACGTGCAGTGAGTCGAGTCCCCCGGTGTCCAAGCCCTTTGTGGGAGCCAGGCTGGGCGCTGCCTGGATGGAAATCGCACACTTGCATCAGACCCACCGCGTTTCGTAAGTATGGTGTGTGATGTGTGCCGTCCTTGGTAACTCGCTACTGCTGCAGCCCTTGCCGACTGACAGCAGATCTGCGGCAAGAGTGGCTTAGTGCGTTTTCGTCCAAGAGCCTGTAAGTAGAGTTGAGCTCCCTGCTCAGACAAGGCGTGCGCAACAACCCATGTCCTTGTACGAGGGCAGCGCCCGCTGAGGATACACACAAACAGGGGGATGAAAAGGACGCTGCATCGAAGAATCTGAGAAGCGACAGGAGAGAGGCATGGAAGGCACGGGGAGAGAGGAGAAATATAGCTATTCCTTCGACGCGCGAAACCAAAGAAGAGACGATTAAGATGGCTGGTGCTGCTGGTGTTTGTTGCGCTTTCCTTCTCTCCCGGAAGCGCGTGCTGTCCCCCTCCTTCT